CGAAGTTCACGATGGCGTCGCTGTCTGCGGTGCCCAGGTCTGGGACGAAGTCAAGGACGAAGACGTTGTTCTTCAGGACCGCTTTTCCGATGTAGAGGCCGCCCTTCCCGTGGTATAGTTTGAACTCCTAGGTGGTACTGTCGGCTTCCAGGTGAATACCTTTCGCCATCAACTGACTGACGCTCAGTAAGTTGTAGCCGAGTCCCTCCGCGATTAGTACTTTTGACATTTGTAGGACGACGTTTGTCTCTCGTGACTGAAGTTGTACTATGCCTTGTCGTCTTGTGCGCAGGTTTTGATTATTGGCGACGGTGATGACGACTTCTTGTTGGAGTTGGTGCTCGCGTTGAACGAAACGTCCTAAGGAGCACATGTGTTGTCCGCAGCAACTGTCCAAGAACCAAGTGTCTCTTCCGGATGGCTCGCTTTGAGCGATGGCGGCGTATGTCGGGTTCGGCTGAAGTGACTCGCGGCGAGGTGTGATGTTGTCGAGTTGTTCTTCTGGTGAGTAGTATGGTGGTGACTCGGTTGTGCAGGAGTCAGTTATCTTTGCGATGCAGTTGACGATGTTTCTTGCTCCTTGTGCAGGTTGTCCTGTTGGAGTCGTTGAAGCTTGAATCTTTGTCGTGGGATTTGCTTGCGTTGAAGTGACTTGGGAGCTTGAAGGCCGAAGTTGTCGCTGTGGTGTTGTCGATTGCTGACGATACGGGCAGTGCGTACGAGGATGCCCTGAATTTTTGCAGATGTGGCAAAACGGAGGTACTGGATTCAGCTGTTTTTGCTGCCGATTGTTGTTGTTGTTGTAGCGTCGCTGGGCGTGAAACACGAACTCTGGTACTGACGTTTTCTTCTTATGTCGTTCTTCTTGCAGGTCCATGTCCTGCTGCTCGGCATGGATTTCGGCGCAGAGTGCTGCTTCGGAGATTCTCCCGTGTGCTCGTAGTATGGCGCGAGTGGAGCGCCAGTGAGGGCCAAGACCGCCGATGACGACCATGACGAAGGCGTCTTTTGAAATCGATCCTCCACATCGAAGAAGCCTGTCGCGCAGCTTGCGGCAGCGACTGATATACGCCATTCCCTTCTCGCCTGGTTTCATTTCGATTGTTGACAGCTGCGCCATTAACCGACTTTGGTTTACGCTGTCTGTTGCTTGATACAGGTTCTTCAAGTGGTTGTACGCGAGCTCCGCGGAGTTACCGTAACCTCGGTAAGTCCTTATGTTCTGCTGTTGAGTCGGGGTGATGTTCCTCAGTAGTATTGTGTACGCCATCATCGATTGATAGGTGTACTGCTGCTTCTCATACTGTGTGCCGTTTGTTGGATATGGCAGTGACCCGTCGAAGAAGCCAAGGATCTGCGCTACTTCCATCATCAGCTCGAATTCGAACGACCAGGTAAAGAAGTCCTTCCCGTCGAAGGGTTTTGTCGTTTGTAGTTTTAGAACATGCGCGAACTGCGACTGAATTTGTAGTGCGTCCAGTGCTCTTTCTTGTCCCGGTGCAGGTTGTGGTTGTGGCATGAAGCTGACGGAGCCGCGCTGGGGCTCGTACGGAGCGAAGGTAGGTTGTTGTTGTTGATTCCCGCGTGCGTAGGATGAGCCATCGAGACTCATGGGCGTCACGTTGTTGTTGTTGTTGCTGTTGTTTGATTGCGCAGGTACTCCTTGCTGATGCTGCTCGTAGAAGGACATGAAGGAGAAGAATTTCTCCATCATGCTTGGATCGAAGCCCGCGCCTTGGTTTGCGGGTGTTTCAGTGGACCCAGCTGCTGATCTCGTTGTTGTCCCTTCCTCTGTCTGTAGGCCAGAGGCAGGTGGTGGAGTAGGGGTAGTACCGGGAGAGCCGTTGGAGGAGCTCCTCTCCTTTCTAGCAGACATGTCTTCTTGATGTATTAAGTGTTGGAGAAAAGGTAGCTTTTAACTCTAACCTGCTCTCATACCATGTTGGGCTCAACGCCCTAGGATCTTTGGTAGAGTTTTGATCTAAGTAAATGATGTAGTAGCGGAAGCGTTTTGAATAAAGTCCTTGAACCACCTTGCGCTAGTATGTGAGGGCAAAGTAAGTTGATTAAAGCAAAGAGATACAAGAATATATATGAGTACAGAGAATATGAAGAGACATAATTGTAACTACTTTACTGTTGCGGTTCGATACAGTGCGACTCGGGCAACTGCTCCATGTCGAGTCAGTTGTGTGTCCTTGCTGTCGCGCTGCATTTGTCAGGTCAAAGGTCGCTGACCTTTGACTTTCTCGTAACCTCCAGCGGTTACATCAACCTCCGAGGGTTGACTCGCTGGTGCTTCGATTTGCGCTGCTTCGCTTGTGTCTTGAAGTTTCGACACTACAGAGGCGCTTTAAGACTATTTGTTCCCAACAGGATACACGTGGGAGCACGGGGGGTCGAAATGTACGTATGATGCATACATTCCGGTAATCAAGGGGAAACACCCACACCACGCCTTGTTCATGCGTGAATCACGCCCACGGGTAAAAAGACGAAACTGGAAAGTGTTCCTGATGAATGGAAAACGGATGTGATGGATCAGATATAGCAGAAAAGCATTTCTGAATGAACAGATTTCACCAAGTCGTATTTTCTGAATCATCAGATTAAATCAAAAAGTAGCCTTCGAATATAGGACAAACAGACAAAAAATTCTGCTAGCGACGTCCCTGGAGGGAGAGGTGGAAGAGGTCAAAGAGGGCTACAGAGAGCATGGCAGCGTCAATTCTGAAAAGAGAGAGGCCGGAAGGGGGATAGCACAGGAGGGTGAGTTAGTCAAACAAGACTTGGCCTGCTGACTTGAGTTGACTAGCATGACTCCAGGTTGACCAGCATTGACTTCAGTTCTGAGATATACCATGACAGGCGAGGGTAAGAAATGAATGATCCAACCAGGTGGAGTTGGATTGCTAGGAAAGAGTGTGCTTGCTGAGGTGTGGAAATTACCCAACTTAGAACAGAAGCAAACCTCTTGCCAAACCTCAAGCCTCTCACCAGCCTGCCTCTCACCTGCCAAACCTCTCACCTGCCGAACCTCTCACCTGCCGAGCCTCTCACCTGCCGAGCCTTGCGTGCAGGGCCGTGATCAGCAGAAATCTAAAAAGCAGCTTTTCTGCTACAGCCGGCAACACCGCCACCCACAGGAACAGCAAGGGGAGGGCCGCAGTGACGGCAGCTGTAGCAACCACGCCCCCCCCAGTCCCATCAGGCAGCAACAAATGACATAGCAACAAGGCTGTAGCAGTCACGCTATCCCCTCCGCCTCCTCCTGCTGCTCATGCTCCTGCTGCTAGTTCTGGTAATACCCCTGCCGCCTCCCCTCCACCACCTGGTTTAACGGACACAAGCAACAAAAGAAGAGCCCATAGAATAGGACCCCTTACCGCCCCTGCCACAATTTCCTTCCACCAGCTGTCGTTCCCCCTCTCCCCCACCCCACCCTCCCCCCCCCCCCCCCCCCCCCCCGAAAAACCTCCCCTCTCCCCATCCCCGGAAGATTGAACATTATCGCTCATTGGAAGCCACAGAAGCCCATCAGCACTGCCCTACAGTTTAACCCCAAACTTCTCCTCGAACAGCTCGTCTGAGCATTGGAGAAACTGGCGCAAATACACCACTTTCCTTGTCGCCTCCAAATCCAGAAGCTGCTGCTCTAGAACAACGCTCTCCCCTGGCTCGTCGTTGCTCAAAACAACCCCAAGTAACGGTCCACTCTTTCTTTCTTCCACTCCAAATTCCCCCTCTACTCCCTCCACATTGTCAGACACAGAACCCAGCTTGCTTCTTTGTTTCCTAGCTTCAATCGAATCACCCCTCCTGTCTCCAACACTCGTCCGACAAACCATCTCGCGTGCCACTACCAAATAGCCCACTCGCACCAGTGCCAAATGTCGCGGTCTGATTCGTCGATCCAAACTCAACGTTAGGAAGGAAGGGAAGGCAATGACCTCCATCATAGAGAGCCCCATGTCCCGTTTTAAGTACTCCACCTTGTGCTTCAGATTCGTTTTCCAGCTGCAGTTGATAGACTGCGGGTACCTCACCACCAAATCCACCACCAACTCGCGGGCCCGGTATCTCTTGTCACCTTTAGCTGACTTTGATGATCGAAGCTCATTCGCCCCTTCCAAGGAACTACCACGCTCGCCTTTAACCTGTCTTTGTGTTCCACTCCCCTCTTCCCCACTGCTCTCCAATACCTTCTCCACTTCTCGCGCAAGCTCTCTAAAACTTTCCCTCATGACAACTTCACTGGACGCTATGAGCAAAGGAAATCGTGCCACCACCCGCACAGCTTTCTCTCGGCCAATCAAATCGACCAATACCGCCACCTTGCCTTGCACGTTCTCCTTCGATAGATTCAGAACCGACTGGTACCTCCTCACAATTCTCTCTGCTGCTTTCTCCCCCCCGAGCTCGAGAAAGAACTGGAGCTTAGCTAAAAGAGTTTCTTTGTTGAAACTGAGGACGGTGGGGGCACGCTGAAGCACAGAGGCTGCAATGGAGGGGGCGTCTGGGGAAGCAAGGGACTGGAGGATTGCAATATTTTATGCGATGTGATAGTGAGAAATAGAGAGGATGGATGGATGTTTCAAGATAAGCCTGCTCAAATGGAGATGCTACTCATCTTGTTGCTGCTTCAGGAGGCCTGTGCTCGTGCTACCTGCTTCTACCTTCCTTCCACTTCCCGCCTTCAGGTAGGCTGATAGCATCTCAAGCTGATTATTCAGCGCCTCTTTGCTCCGAGTCAAGATGTCCGGACATCTCTCTATAATCACACCCAGCTTGTCCACAGGAACCCCTGCTCTCTCTACCAGAATGTCCAGGTTCGTTGAACGTGGCTCCCAGCAGAGAAGCTTACGTCCACGTCGGAGCACCGAGCCCAATCTGCTTCGGCGGACGCCTTGAGCCGAAAGAAACTCAAGTGTATACTGAATCATACGCAGGGAGCTTCGGAGCCAGGCTGGATTTTTCAATGTGATGTGGGCGATGTCAGCATGAGATATGCCAAAGGACTGGAGGAGACGGACATGTGGCAGGAAGTCACTGGTGGGATTGGAGCGGAGGAGTTGGGGGGTGGAGGCGAGAAGGGGAGCGACAGTGGAAGGGGAGGAGATGCCGAGGTGGGAGGAGAAGAAGCGGTAGAGGTAGAGGAGGGAGGAGCGAGAGGTAGCACGTCTGGGACGAAGTGTCGTGCATGGTGAACCTTCCTCACCCATTCCTGTTCCTGCCTTCCCCTCCTTCGAATTTATGTCCATTTCATCCATCTCCTCTTCCGCCGCTGCTTCTTCCTCTCCTTCCACCTCCTCGCCCTTCCTATTCTCCGCGTTCCCAGCCCCCTCCTCCTCCTCCTCTCTTACAATCTGAGGTCCGAAATTCGCCATCAGCACTTGAGCAATCACTGTCATTGCCTCCTCCTTCAGATGCTTCCCCCTCCCTGCTCTTACTCTCGCTACCTTCGCTTCTTGCTTCCGCTTTGCCTGCTCTCCTCCCACGCCTCTTGCCTCCAACTTCCTTGGTTCCACCCTTCTTTTCCTCAACATATTTTGCGCTCCCCTCTGCTTCTCTATCAGCTCCCACCTCATCCTCCCGCAATCCAAGCGCCTCAAACTCCGCTCCAACGGTCGACTTGTCATCGGCCGTCGATTGTATCTTAAGGTTTGCAACCGCCGCCTCTGAAGAGTCTTCTGGCGTGGAAGCGTTATTAGCATCGCATCTGATCGCAACGATCCGGTCAGGGGTTCGAACCCTGACTAAGGCTTTCCAGTGGTTCAATGTGCGGAATCCGAGCTGGTACGGGCTCGACCATGACGGAAAAGCAGATCTGAATGGATTCATGTGGGTCTTATCAAGAGATCTGCAAGGACGAACACGGATCTGCGTGTAGCCTAAGCTGAAAATCGACATGACTGACGGAGATGAAGGAACACCACACGCCATGGCAAACAAGCAGAGGAACCGAATTTATTATCAAGGCCAGTAGCTCGCGACTACATTGAGCGCTGGTGGTAGGCTATCTTGCTCTGCTGCTTTGATCTCTTGCCTCGTTCCCCTCTCACCTCTGCTTTGCTTCCAACATCTCACGATCTTCCCATTTCCTTAGCTGCTCTCGTCTCTCAAGGGCGAGCTGTGCGTTTGTTAGTCGTAGCCGCGTTACGAGCTGATAATGAATCCCGTTTGATGGAGACAATTCAGGATGAAGCATCTGCGAGGGTGCAGCGGTAGAGGCGCATGGTTTGATCCTTAGTTTACCGCTGCGCCTCGCCTCCGAGGCAATTCTATGACAGGCCTTCGCGGGCTTCGTATTTGCGAAAGCCAGAATTTTCTGCACGCAAAGCAGCACCGTCCGAGTGTGTCACCTCACCTCTTTTGTCCCCGCTGTAAGCAGGTTGAGGCAGGACGGTGGCCCTTGTGGGCTCGGCGGCGCAGAGCGAGCAGCAGGTGCAGCAGCGAGTGGAGGAGTGGAGGCGACGGCAGGAGAAGGAACGGGGAAAAACATGATCAGAACGCAAGAGAATGTGGGAGGACGGAGCTCCGAGAGTAACGTCTCGAAGGGCAGACAAAAAGGGAAGGGACCTCAGGGCTGAAGCAACAGCTGTTTGGTGAAAGCCTGTGCGATGGTAAGTCGACCGCTAGAACCATAACCGCCCTGTTATCGTGATGCTCTCACCTATTTTCCGCCCCTCGTCTCTTCTCCCTTCAGCTCGCTCTCTCTCAACACTCTCTCGCCCTTCACCTTGCACTTTTGTCCGACATTCACCTCCTCGCTTCCTCCGGAATATTGAGCATGTGCCCCCCTTCCCTGCAGTGCGTTTCCCGCCTCCCCGCTCCCATGCCCAGGCTTAAAGGGTAACAGCCCGAGCCTTGAACCACTGGGCATCCACGCGCCGAGCCTTGAAGGGGTATAGCCCTTGGTTCAAGTCTGCAGATGCGTCGACTGTCCATCTGTGACATCTGATCTGCCGTAAGTCCCTTGGCGGTCGGCCGGGATTGCAGCAATTCGACGGTGAGAAGCAACAAGGGGGCCTCATTTCTATCGCAGACATTCCATCCTGTGCACTCAGTGTGTGACGTGACGGCCTTCCTTCTTTTCTCCCCTACGACTGCCATTCTCTGCCTTCATTATGCTACTGCTGCTTCCGCTGTTCTCCACCCACTTGCTCCGGCTCCTATTCCCTCCCCCCCTCCTCTATTCCTCTTGCTGCTCACTGTTCTCCACTTTCCCTTACTCCCACCGCGTTCTCCCATGCTGCAACAGCACACCTTCCATTGGTGCTATGCGTGAATGTGCATAGTGTGCGTGCCGCATATGTGGTGTGTCCATGGTGTGAGCATGGTATGCATGATGGCGTGTGTGGTGCTCTCATGGTGTGTGCATGACGTTTGTGGCACATACACCAGTGCACGGTAATGGTTGACTGAGATCGGAGGTACCTTCCTTTCATCCACACTCCACACTCCCCTTTTCGTCCTCTTTCCCTCGCCCTACCCTTCCCCTTTCCTCCCATACCATCCCCTTTCTCTCCTCTTCACCTCTCATTTCCCTAACCTTTCCCTCACCTTACCCTACCCTTTCCCTCCCCCTTTTCTCCCCTTTCCCACACCTTTCCCTCCCGTTCTCCCCCCTTCCCCTCCTCTTGCCTTCCTCCTTCCCTCCCAAGCCAGGCGTGGCGGGAGTGTGGCAGAGCTGCGGAGCACAACCCCCATGTAGGAAAGCTCACTCCTGATTCATCTCCACAGGTTGCGACAGCTCTCCCTCTTTCTTCCCCTCCCCTTCCCCTCCTCCTCCATGCAACAGACCAGCCGTTGTGTTGGGAGTGGCGGTGCTGCTGATCGGCACGCCCCTCATGGGGACATCATCCACACATCGGGGGACAAACTTCTTGGTCGGAATCAGCTCCAACGTGCTGGACCAGTCCAGATCGCGAGCCACTCACTCAATGCCTCTTGAAGACATGCCCCTCTGCCTCACCAGGGACAAACTCCTCGGAATCAGCTCCAGCCTGTCGAAGATCGAGAGCTAGTGCCCTTCTGCTCTCATGCTCACCTTGCTCCCATGCTCACCTTGATCCCATGCTCTCCTTGCTCCTATGCCCACCTTTCTCCCATGCTCTCCTTGCTCCCATTCTCTCTGTGCTCCCTACCAATCGTTTCATGACGCCCATGAACTCTCCTCCTTGCCCTTGCTCCTGCCCTCTTGCATGCACACCCCCTCGAGGAGATTCTGGAGTTGCTGTGGGTGTACTGCAAGGCGGGCGGGAAGGGCACCAGAGATGCCACGGCGCGTGCCTTTGGCCTGTAGCAGCCTCCAGTGGGCCCGCTGGTTCAAGGTTGCCATGCCAGACGAGGCAAAGCCCAGAGGGTTTTTTGGGAAGTTGATGAGTCTTTTAAAAATTCTGTAGCACAAGTTGCGGTACACCTGCCCTGCCGCCTTTTAACAAAAAATGATCTCTGCTACCTATGAATGACTTCGAAGGTCCACTACCGTACCCCGACACTGGAAAGCCTGAAAACAGATGTTCTGAATCTCAAGAATGATGGTGAGGTGATGGCACTACAGGCAGCAGGCCCTTGCAGATCCAGAATTTTTCAAGACACTTCAATGAAAGCCACCAGGTACAGATCACGCTCGTTCACTCACACCACTTTCCATTCCGCGGGTAGATGAATATTTTCAACAAACTACGGGATGATGATATCCTGACTACCAATCGCCACACGAGGAAGATACCTCGTGATCAACGAATCCAAGGCATTGCTGTTGCCTCGAATCCGAATCAAATGAGGCATATTCATCAGCTTCCCCACCCCCCTCTGCGTTACTGTGGAATCCCAGAGGTCTAGTCGCTCCAGCGCAGTCAACTGAGCAACCTGCTCCATGCCAGCATCAGTCACACCGGGTGGCACAGCTAGGATCTTCAGCTTGGTCAGTGAGAGGAGGTGCGGCAGCCCATCGTCCTTCACCCCAGTGGAGCCCAGGTGAAGACCCTCTAGATGCACCAGCTTCCCTACGTGCACCATGCCGGCACTTGTGACAAACCTGCAGCCGACCAGGTCTAGGAGCGTGAGGGACGAGAGGGCTGCCACATGCTGTAAAGCAGCATCCGTGACACTGGTGCCCACGAGGCTGAGAATGTGAAGCCTGCTGCTGAGCACCCCAATTCCGTGCAAGGCATCGTCTGAGATGGGCGTGTTGCGCATGTCCAGCCCACGCAGCTGGGGCAGCCTGTACAGCTGCTTGATGCCCTCTGCGGTGAACCCCGAGGAGCCATCCAGGCCGATAGACTCCAGCTGAGTCATGGAAGAGATTTTCCCAAGGGCTGCATCTGAGAGGCACGAGATGTTCTTCACGTCCAACGAGGTGCGAGCTGGTGTTGCTGAGAGGATGGCCTGAGAAGGGTTCAGAGGGAAGAACCACAGGGTTATCATCACAATCACGTTATAGCACAAGGCGGTGTTGGTTTGGACACGTGCTGACAAGACAACCAGCACCAGCACCCCAACCACAGCACCTGGAGCAGAAACATGTGGCACCCTGAGCTGAGTGCCCCAGCCATTGACACCACCATCCACGACACTCACAACAACGTACCTCCCATATCTTCTCGGTGTCACGTTTCAGTTGTTCCAGTTCCGTTCTCAGGGCTGCCACCTCTCCCCTTGTGTTTGGGAACTCCTGAAGATAAAGTCACACAGAATAATGAGCGCGCTTCTTGCAGTACAAGAGCATTCCCTAAATGCGTCTGCCTTGCTTCCTTGCAGCAACCGGCTCAAGCACCCAGATTCAAGCATTGCTTACCAGCTCACGGTCTGTGAGAGTCCCCTCCAGCACCAGCAGATGATCCTTGTGTTTTGCCACATCCGCCTTCACGCCCACCAGCTCCTCCACAACCCTTTTTCCCTCCCCTCAGCTTCCTCCACCTTCTTCCTGGTTGCTTCGAGCTGCGCAGCAAGCGCTGTCACTGTCGTCTTCAGGGCCTCTTGCCTCTTGTGCCATTCACCGCTTCGCCCTAAACTGGCGTCGATGGCTTTACTCGCAAACTCCCTGTTTGCAGGATGGGAATACACCCGGGAATGATGATTGTTTAAAGCATAGTAATACACAAAAATGTAGACAAAGAAAACTCCCTGTTTGCGGGATGAGAATACACCGGGGAATGAAGATTTATATCGAAAGCAACAAAAAAGACAGAAATTCATGAGCAAAAAAATGTATGCTCAAGAAGGATGCAAGACTGTAGTGATGAGGAGCGAAACATGCACAGGCACCAAGCGAATGACACTAGAATGGGTATGGGGTACGCATAGAGGAGCAGTCAGACATGAGGAGGGAGGAGCTCCGGAGGACGAACGCCATGAGCAGCCCGTTGACTGCCGCATCCTCTTCAGACGCGCGGGCCATGGAGGGCTCGGATGGAGATCTCGAAGCACGAGGAAGGAATCTGAAGCGCATGGGAGGAGGACGGAACCTGAGATACATGGGAGGAGGAAGTGGGGAAAAAGCCAGAGGGAGGAGTAAGGGGTCTGTCAAAACTGGAGGCGGCGGAAGGGACGACCACAAAATACATGATTGCACGAAAGCGCGACGGATAAGGAGAGAAATGGGCGGAGGGGAGGAAAGGAGGGGAAAGTTTACCTCGGGGATTCTGTACAATTGCGTGCTTCTTCCAAGGCGGGTTTGTTCTCCTTAGCTTTGCAATGACGAATCGGCCTCAAGCGAGAAGGACCTGCAGCATTCAGGCAACATAGTCAAGAGGTTTTCGAAAAGCAAGGGGGCAGAAACATAGTCTCAGCACAAGACATAGGAACGTCTCAAAGAAGAGAATATGCAAAGTCACAGGTGAATTCGACGACAAGAAAGGCTACGTGTAAACGGGAAAGCGACGCTGGCCTTGCCTATCCTCGTGGCTTCATGCGACGTGATCTTGCAGAACGAGGGAAGGCCCAAACGTAGGAGCAACAGGAGGAGAAGAGAAGCAGAGTGGAGATGGCAAGGACTAGAAATGGAACGAGGTGAGAATGGTGCGTGAGGTTGCTCAACTGGAAGCTGGTGGGCGATCAGCGGAGGAATGAAGGCGACTTTGAATCACGAGATATCTAGTTATGGAGAGAATAGGGAGGATGAATTTCAATCGGATGAGGCGAGGGGCTCTACGGAATAAAACGATGTGAAAGGAAACACACCTGAGGAGCCGAGTGCGCGCGGTGCCTGACGGGATGCTGGGAGTCGCATCCTACCTTTCGACGCGACTTGCTGTGATCACAAGGCGGAAGGAAGGCGTGACCGTTTGTGCGAATTAGAACGAGAATGATTGAAGTTGGGTACAAGTACTAACCCTAATTGGGTTGTACCCCTTATGGGCTACACCACTACAGCCTACAATGAAGTATGAGCTATAATGTTCTGACACACCCCCATAGGCAAAGTGGGGGAGAACAAGTGGTCACAAGACCAGTCAAGCAAAGCAAACCAAGCTCAAGGTGGATCATAAAGTCACCACACAGTCCTAGCACAAGAGCAAGGCCACAAGGTCAGCTCACATGCAAGATCATATATAAAGGTAAACAAGCAAGTGCAGGTATAGAAAGAGTACACTACAAACAAGATTAAGAAGTGAGCAAGTGAGGCCAGGTAGGTACAAGACCTAGGAAAGTACAGAAGCGTTGATGATCACAAGGCGGAAGGGCCTTGGTGAAGATATCAGCAGTGTTGGCCTCAGAGGCCACGTAGGTGAGGCGGAGCTGACCACGCTGCTGCAGCTCACGAGCCAAGAAGTAGCGGGGAGCAATGTGCTTCGTTCTGTGCTCCAGTCTGTGCTCCCAACACAAGGCCAGCATGGCCTTGTTGTCTACGTACAGAACTGGAGGAGAACGAGGCGGCTCTCCTAGGTCAGTCAACAAGTAGGTGAGCCAGCGTAGCTCCTGTGCAGCCATGGCCCCTGCGTTGATCTCAGCCTCATAGCTGGAGCTGAGAACAAAAGACGAGCGGGTAGACCGCCACGAAACAGGGCCGGAGCCAAGGCAGAAGGTGTAACGCTGTGACGACCGCTGCAGAGCCTGGTCGTCAGCCCAAGAAGCGTCAGCGTGACCTGTGAGGACTACTCGACGTCGCCCTCCAAGCACTAGCTCCATGCCCGACGTATTGCATACGTAGCGCAACACCCTCTTCACTGCAGCCATGTGCTCTAGTCGGTGTCTCCCAGGAGCAACATACCGTGCCAAGATGCCGAGGGGGTATGCAAGGTCAGGTCGTGCACAGGTCATCACGTACATGAGGCAGCCAAAAAGCTCTAGGTACGGGCCACTCGGCTCTACGGACTCATCCGAAGGCAGAGCTGAGAGCGAGTGGCGACTAGACAGAGGAGTGGCATGAGGCGAGGAGTACGTGAAGCCGAAGCGCTGAAGGATCTGCTGCACCATGTGTGACTGAGTCAGGGTAATGGTGCGCTGTGCTCTGTCCCGGGTGATCTGCGAGCCAAGTTAGCTGCGCAGTTCACCCAGGTCTGTGCACGTGTGTCTCTTCTGCAGCTCGGACTTCACGTGGGCGAGTCCAGCAGTGTCGGTAGTGGCAAAGACCAAGTTGTCGACGTACACGGGGATGTAGAACGGCGGCAAAGAGGTGTCGGTGCGCAGAAACAGCGACGGGTCGGCTGTAGATGGAGCAAACCCAAGAGCCGCAGGTGTAGTCCTTAGTGTGTTGTACCACTCACG